CAGGCCATGTACCACGTGTACCCCACTCTCCACCAGGCCATGTACCACGTGTACCCCACTCTCCACCAGGCCATGTACCACGTGTACCCCACTCTACACCAGGCCATATACCATGTATACCCCACTCTCCACCAGGCCACGTACCATGTGTACCCCACTCTACACCAGACTCCACAGACTTCTCAAACAGGGCACCCATGACACTGCCTGGAGATTTGATATTAAAGAATCGCTGAGAATCTTTAGGCATGATGACAACACAAAGCTGCAGGAAGCAGGCGAGTGGAACTGCAGATACGAAACTTCATGGGATCTGGGACTTCAAAGTTACACAGTCTCTGGGTTAGGGGAGAAGTTCTGAATCTGGACACGCATTTGCCCATCTTCTGAGATTTGTAGACATTCATTTGAAATGTCCAGAATTAAGAAGAAAAAATATCCAAAGCGGGAGGACAGAAAAAGAGATGATCTGAGTGAGTGGGTGGGGGCTGAGGGCTCAGGGAAGGAGAGGCAGTCAGGAAACCAGAAACACAGGCAGACCATGATGGGGCAGAGCTGTGTCTGTTCCTCTCGCCACGTGGCAGAGACGGTGGCACCTGCGCCAGCCTGGCCCGTCCCACAGACTCCAGGCTGTCTGGTAACCTCACTTAGGGTTATCTGATACTAAGTGGCTTCAGGGAGGCCAACATCTCTACAAATATTGGCAAGCCCACAAACATCAGAAACAGTTAAACATCCAAGCTGAGAGTGTGGCTGTCTGAGGCTGTCCTTCCAACTTAGAAAACTGAAACGGGAGAAAACCATTAGTGGGGATTGTTACATAACCATGTAAAAAGGAACCATGTAAAATTCTACACATGCATGTAAAGAAAGAAAGCACACACACATACACACACAAGACAAAAACCATCTCAAGTACTCTGCTGTCTTGTATTAATAAAAAGATAACATGAAGCCAGGAGATAGTGTTCTGTAAGCTGTGCATGCATGTATGTTCGTGTCTGTGTGTGTGTGTGTGTGTGTGTGTGTGTGTGTGTGTGTGTGTGTGTGTGTGTGTATTCATGTGTTTAAGGCTGTATATGTCAAGCAGGTGACTTGAGGCAGAGTAATTAAGACAGGTCCCACTCTTAACAAGAGACTCTTTGCAATCTTTACCCCACGTGCCTCCCTAGGCTAACTCCACGTAGGGCTAGTGGCTAATGTCACTGTGAAAAGCAAAGGCTTTTAGGATGGAGGTGTGTCATGCTGGGGTGTCCTGAGAGAGCCCATGTTGTCTGCATGTTCTCAAGGTCCAGTCAAGGGTCCCTGCAGTGTAGGATGGCCTTTGCATTAGGGGCTCCTGGGACTCCATGAGGGAGGTGAGTGCTCATGTTCACAGACAGCTGTTCAGAGCATCCACCTTGCTGTGAGATGTGGATGGGGCTTCCTGTAGGGACATGGAGGATATCAGGGCTGCCCTGCTCCATGAACTCCACTAGAGAATCTTCCTTCTCATTCTCCTAAGTGGTTCAGTGCACAGAAGACCAGACGTGGCTCAGTTGCAGTATGAAATGGGGCAAAGTTAGAATGTGTGTTCTTAGAAGAAGTGGTTTTACAGGTCATCACCTTGCCTCCAGGGTTGATACCTAGCATGCAGGTCCATGTTCCTGAAGACGAGCTCTGCTTCTGGAAGCTCCCAGAGTCTTCCGTCTGACTTTGAAGTGAGTTCTTTCCAGAGTGTGAGGCTTTCACGTGCAGTGGGGCACTGGTGAGCACGCAGATGACTTCTTGTCAGCGCAGCACAGCCTGGGTCCCAGCAGAGTCCCACAGCCTCTTCAGTCTCCCCACCCGAAGCAGAGGAGCAGGAGAGACTAGGGGGAATTCCACGGTGAGTGCGGCAGGTGAGGGCCGGTGCCATCCCACCCTGCCGGGAGTGACTCTAGATCTTTCCTGCCCTTGTCTGCTCTCCCGGTGTCCACAGAAGGAGCAGTGCTGGCTCTCAGCCCCACCCCCTGATGTCACCTCCAGGGTCAGATGAGGCTCATAAAGCCACAGGCGGTGAGCTTCGGCGAATATGGATTGATGAGTAGCATTTGGAAATGAAGGGGTTTGTGTGGCTAGAGCTGTACTCCTGGCTTTTTAAGGGGGGAACTGAACACCTCTGGTGTTATTCCGATAGGGCAGTCACTTTATGAGGCCACCCCTTCAGACAGGGTCTGCCCTTACTGCTGACCATTGCTCCTTTCCCTCTCTTATAGAACCTTCTGGAAAGCTGCTGGAAGACTTCTGGGTTGGGGCTCTGTCTGAAGAGGACCTGGCTTTGGTTACAATGTCTTTGGCCCCCGCAGCACGGACGCTGCAGCGCCACTCCAGTCACCCTCCTTGGTGCTGGCTGTGAACTCCTCTGACCTATGTTGAGATGAACATGAGTATGTAAAACAAGCAACCAGGAAGCACTCTGCACCTATTAATACTAAGTCAGTCTCATCTTCAGAAACGCTCACCTGCGGTGAGCAGATACCTCTTCATGAAATATGAAATCCACCCAAATTTATTAAAGCCTCCTGTGCAGTGGTGGGAGCTCAAACCGAGCGGCCCTCCACGAGTGCCTCATTATGATGGTGGCATTATTTATTTATATCCTACCCTAAGACAGACATGATGTAATCCAGTAATTAAGATTGTTATGATCGAATATTTATTAAGCACCTTCAATAAGCCAGACACTGATCCACATAAAACGAATCTATCCCCTCAAGAGCTCCCATCTTACTGGTATGGGGGTTCGGTGCCTCTCACAGGAGAGCAGGGGCATTTAATGGATTTTATCTTTCCTGAGTGAGCCTGGAAAGTGAAGTTGATCAGAAACTGGGCCTGGCTTAGTCTCTCCATAACAAAAAGGTTCATAGTTGGCTTAGAAGAAACACGCAAATGGGCAGACACTATCCCCAAAGTGGCTTCAGACAGGGAGCTAGACTTCCCCGGAGGCCAGCAGGACAAAGATCAGGCCAGGCTGGAGACACCCTTCTTGGAAAAATAGCCCCACCATGGTGTGCTGCAAACTGCCATCTGCTTGTTCCCCACCATGTGTCAGGGCCAGGGCTACAAAGGAGAAGCAGTTACAGCCAGGGTCTCACTTCCTGCCCAGTATCTGGGAAACTTCTATTCTTCTTCCTTTCTTTCTGGATCTGACTCCCATTTTGTTTTGCTGTTTTGTTTTCTTTCCTTCTATAAGTGTGATGATACAATGTCTTTTTGTGTCTAGTGTATTTCACTTACATAATGTCCTTAAGATGTGTTTATATCACAGGTTGTGCCGAAATTCCCTCCACTTACGAGTAGAAGAGTATGCCATTGCCTGTGCCTATCATATCCTGTTCATCCACTCCTCTGTGGATGGGATCCTTTGGGCTGCTGGGAATAATGTTGCTATGTTGATTCTATGTTGCACTTTTTGAGGTACTGCGTAACTACTTTCCAGAGACATGGCTCCACTTTCCATTCTGCCAACACTGCATGGGGGCCTTTGTTCCCCCTTCTCTGTTATTTTCCTCTTTCCTTTTCCTGTGTTTGGCTGTGGCCATCCTAGTCAGTGTGAGGTGGTATCTCACTGTGGTTTTGTTTTGAGTCTTCCTAATCATTAGTGGGGCTGAGCATCCTTTCCAAAACAGGTTTTAAAGATGCAGCCAAACATGACTTAATAGTTTCATTTAAAGTGAGAGTTCCCGTGGAAATGTGGTTTGCCTTGCTCTGTGCTGATGGGTGGCATCAGGTGACCTGGGATGTGAGTCCTTCCTTGTGGTGTGGGGCCTGGCTTCTTAGCCAGTGCGCACACAGTGATTGTCTGTGGAGCACTGGATCCCTGCAGATATTGTGTTCACCCTTGTGTTTCTGGGTAGTGGGTGAGGGCTGATGCTCAGCCTCAGGCAGAGGAGTTATGAAGCCTCCCAGGTGAGTCTGATGTATGTATGTTCCTGGTTTCTTCTGGGTGGGACCCTGTGAACAAGCCTTGCTTTGGGCAGTTTCTCCTGAGCTGGCAGTGAGGTCCCCCTAGGAAGTCCACCGGAGGCCTGCCTGTTTCATAGATGCTTTCCCCGATTCCACCACAGACATTCCAGAGAAGTCTTGCTTCCAGCCTCAGGAGGTCTTCATTCACAGGATGCAAGAGTCCTCTTCCTCAGGGAAACCCTGCTGTGGCTCCTTAGCCACATTCCTACATGGAAAGGGCATGGGCTGCTTCCTTCCATGCACAGTTGTTGCCAAGAGAATGAGATGTGGGCCTGCAGTGTTCCTCTGCCTGGCTAATGAGTGCTCTACCCCAGAGGCCCATCACCATGAGGATTACCAGCTAGCTCCCTTGGGACGCCCAGTTGCCTGTGTCTGGAGAGAGGCCTAATCATCTGCTCCAGTTTGTTTTTAAGCAAGGACTGGAGCTGGTGCTTATCTGGGGTCAGGAAACACTACCTGGGTGAAGTAGGGATGTTTGGGGGGCTTCCCCTGGGTGGCTGGCTGCCACTGTCCTGCACTACAAGAAGGATTCCTCTCAGCACAGGGCAATGTGTACGCTCGGCCAGTTTTCTATAGGAGCTTGGAGCTGGCTGGAAATGCAGGTTCTCAGGCTCAGTGTGTCAGAGACCTGCTTCAGTAAGCTCTGCAGGACTGTCCTATAGTAACTGGGCTGAACTAAGCTATTTTCATACATTATCCCCTTCGACCCTCATGGTGTATTGATGGGGAAACTGAGGTCTAGAACACTATGACCTATTAAAGCGAGAGAGCAAATGAGGGACAGAACTGGAAGTCAAGTCCAGATAGAACACTTCCAAGACCTCCTTTCCAATGAACACACACTGTGTAGACAGAGGTTTGAGGTTGAGGATATTCAAAGGGTCTTGACCCTGGTTCTGACTTTGCTGGAAGGCGTATGGAGAGCTAGGGATACAAATGATGAAAGAATTTCATGCATACACGTAGACAACCCCCACCTAAAGTTACCGCACCCCCAAGAAAGCTCCACCCACTGGGGTGCAGAGTTCCCAGATGGTGGATGGTACAGAGGAAGAGGCCTTTAAGGCAAAGGACGTGCACAAGGAGGCAAGTCAGATATAGATCTGATGTCACCAGCACCAAGGGCATCTGTGAGAATGATGTCCATGAGAAAATGGACTGCTGGTGACCTTAGTTTTATTTGGAGCAGGAAAAAAGCCACAAAGGCCAGGTCACACCCTGGAGAACAATTTTAATAGCTATTGCTGAAGAAACGCTCGGTCAGTCCAGAGTACATAGGAGATCTCTTGAATAGAGCAAGTAATTGGACTGGAACCACAGACAGATGCAGAGTGGTGACTTTTGGGGGATTATTAGCTACCTCTTCCATTTCCCTTCCCATCTCCGATACAGTGGCACTGACCAATATCCACTGAGAGGCAGGCAGAGAAGAGAAAGGCCTATGTTTGCTTTCCAGTTCCAGCTCTCACTCTTCCTTGCTCGTGGGTGTGGTGAAACTCATTCTTCACCCTTGGTCTGGACTCATCTGTAAAGTGGGCATCATGACGTCAATGTGGCCCCTTTGCATAAACTAAGACAGTCGCTGTGAAGTCCTTATCGTCCCCACCAGTACACAGGTGATTCAGGGGAAATCAGCCTGTGTTGGAGAGTGATGTATTCCCTGAACAAGGCTCTTTCAGTTGTTGTTGCTGTTGTTAGATATTGTCTATTTAAGTTTAGGCAAGTGGTTTTAGTGACCGGAAATGGAGTCTTTTTGCGTCATATGAGTATGCCACTATTCAAGCTGACTAGACAGTGTTCTATGATTAGTTTTTGAGATACAGACTGGCTGGTTTCAAGCTTCCTGTGTAGCTAAGGATGATACTGAACTCTTGATCCTTCTGTTCCACTGACCAAGTGTTGTGATTGCATACACTACTACCCCTGGCCCTCTATTTAAAACCCCAAGTCAGAGCTGGTTGCCTTTCTCTCTGAATGTTATTTCCTATTCGTTCAGATCTAAGCTTTGTGGTTCTCTCTTCAAGGTCTGAAGAGTGATCCCATTCCTGGACACTGCCCATGTATATCTATAGTGCTGGGGTGGATCGGACAGCACAGGTGTGTGAGTGTGTGGCTGAGAGTATGTGCATATATGTGTTTGAAGATATGAGGGGTGAAAGTGTATAAGTGTGTGTGTGTGTGTGTGTGTATGTATGTGTGTGTGTGTGTGTGTGTGTGTGTGATGTGATACATTTGTGGGACAGACTTTGCAGTGTCACACTAAAAAAAGATAAGACATTTTGGCTTTTATGGAGAGACTAATCCACTTGAATTATTTGAACTAATTCTTACCTTGAATTAGTTGTGGATTTTATTATAGATGTCATGAAGTATAAAAATGAACCCTTGAATATATGTTATGGAAGTGTTTTGATGTTGGGGCCTTATTATCTATTCATAAAACAGCATTGTGGATAGGTCTAGACAGACCATCCCACCTCATCATCCAATGCCTGGGGAAACTGAGGCCCTGAATGGAGAAGCCTCTTCTTACGTTATCTGATGTGTATAAGGGAGACTCCAATCCTGGCATTTTCCCTCAGCAGCACAGCTATGTGGGGCAGGCCCTTTCATGACCGTAGCTGCCAAAGCAGGGAGACAGGAAGCATTCTTCCTGTGGGGTGAGCTCGGGTTGGGTGTTGAGAAAGCATTGAAAAGGTCTCTCCTCTTTAGCAGACAGGCAAATGAATTTACACACTTAAATGGATGAACATTAGGAGAAACTGAAAGCGTACCTAAAGGATCAAGAGCCTGCTTGGGTTCTTACTCTGGGCCAAGAAGCCGGTGTTGCCTGTCTCTCTACCTTGCCTCTCTCTTTCCATTTATTCTTTAATCTCTGATAAAATGTATTTTTCTCATCATAGACAATTTTGGGGAGGGGGGAGAAAGTGGGAGCCTCTGAAGCTTGGGAGGTTGTATATGTGTGGGGCAGGTATATATAGGGCAGCTCTAAACCTTCCACTCCATTTTCCTACAAGCCTATAACTACTCTAAAAATACAACCTACTTAGAAAAAGATAAATAAAATTATTTTTTGTGTGTATGCATGTGGGTGTATATGTATGTATGTGGGGGCCAGAGGCCATCAGGTATCTTCCTCAGTCACTCTATACCTTATTTATTTATTTACTTATTATTTATTTATTTATTTATTTATTTATTTATTTATTTACTTACTTACTTATCCATCCACCCATCCACCCGTCCATCCACCCATCCACCCATCTATCTATCTATCTATCTATCTATCTATCTATCTATCTATCTATCTATCAAGAGGCAGAGTCTCTCACTGAACCTGGAGCTCGCCAGTTGCCTAAGCTGGCTGGCCAGTGAGCTCTAGAGATCCACCCGTTTCTGCCTCCCCAGCACTGGAAATACAGATGCACCTCCTCCGCCCATGGCTTTTTATGTATGTGCTGGGGATTGAACTCGGGTCCTCACGCTTGACAGCAAGCACTTTATCAACTAAGTCATCTTCTCAGCCTAAGTGAAGTCTACCCATGCCCCCACATGCTACTTGATTGTCAACTGGCTTGTCCAAGTGACTGTGGACTCAATTCTCTGAA